AGTAAAGTATAATTGGGCGACCTTGGTTCTTTACCATGAAATGAAAAGAGGCGGAGAAAGGGAACTTGTCCTCCGAGGTACGTTTAAACTTTAGCTCTAGTCGGAGTCGATTTGGCCGAGAGAACCCTATTGTGATATCTTTTTACAGGGGCGTTAGTGTGGAACGCTATTCAAAGTGAAATGAAAAAAAAATGCACAGGCGTACCCACGTCAATGACTGCCTTAGTCTTTGTAGGTAGAGGGAATCTCAGCGCTGAAACATCCAAGGTCTTGCGCCTATTTCGTTTAGCCAACTCCATAAACAGTCACTTAGGAGCAGCAACGGTTTCGACCTGCTATGGATGCAGGCAACAATCTACCCTTGCAGAGAGGCTGCAGTTATTTAAATGTCACTTCACAAATTGGGCCTTATCATCTTGTTGTCTAGGCTAGAAAGTGTTGGGTTTACTGAAGTATTATGCATTTTGTTTCTATTTATTTGCGATGCTTTTATAAATTCAGGCATATTTTCCAGAAAGCACGTTCAAATAAGCATTATTTATTGTGTTTATTCGATAGAAAATCACGTTCTTTTTCTAGACAGTTTAGAGTTTTAAAATGTTTTCAGCCCGATCTCCAGTTGCATTCGGGTTAGCAGTTACATGTAAAGAGAATTTAACATTTTCAGTATGTCATTCAAGATACTTCATATAGTGTTCAAATAATTTAGCAATGGATGTGGACTATGCTGTGTACTTAACAGGGAATATTATTAAACAGACGCATACGATGCTATTTAAATGAACCTGACGTGGTCTTATAATATTGCATAATTAGGACTGTTTTTAAACGCAGGATACCCTTGAGTGTAAGCTTTGCTATCAAGTGTGTACCTGAAGTAATATTCGAGAGCATGATTTCTATAAAATATATTTGAGTTTATAAGAGCCTCGAAAATCAAAATAATAAATCTATACTACTTAAATATGCAGTTTTTCCCTTTGTGGTTGTTGAGAATGGCGCTATTCCCATAATTGGTCAACACGCACAAAGGTGTCGCGAGCTGCCTCGCTGCGGCCATTCTCGTCTGTTCAATTCTGATTGGCCCATTGTCTCGGACTATGTCTCTCTCACGACCCCTTAAATCCATCCAGCCTTTGTGTAAGCACGACTTGCTCTAACTTTCCTTGTGTGAATTCACACTGCTCTTGGTCATCCGTCTTCTCATGCTTCTCTCGTACGGGACTTGGGTACCGATTGGCTAACTCACCGTTCGTGCAGGTCATAACAGTGGTGGTTGTAGCCGGTCAAAAAAAATACATTCATAAGCTGGCATCTGGACCTTTCTTAAATTGAATGAGATTATACCGCGTGGTGAATGATCTTAAGTAGAAAACGCATTTCAGAATTTAAGGGGACATTTCATGAGACCGCTCACTGACTGTTCGGCCCAGTAGGCGAATTCCCCACACAGAAAACACGCTGCATTTGGCCACATCGCACGCACCGGTGTCAAGAAGCAGCCGCGTGTCTGATGGCTATCAGGCACAAATGGGCATCCTAGACTCCACTTTTTTGCCACTGAAAACTTACCTAGAATATGGCATGCAGATGTGACATCTCTCGCCTCATCTTCGTAGACACTCAATGAGGCTGCGCGCTTT